TATACTATATATACAATATTTATAACATATTGTACCAATATTATATATTAAATTCAAGATTTTCATTTGTTTTTTTCCGCTTGAGTAATATATTTCATACATTTGAAATATTATTTATTTTTACCAAAACAATAACAACGAATAATAAATTTGTGGCATCTACAAACATATTATTTTATAAATTAAATTTTTTAAAATGGCTATCATAAAATATATTTTTTAAATTGGTAAAATTCGATACCTACCTGCTTATAAGTTATAAGTTATAATATTTGTTAATGTGACCTCTGCGTTATAAAATATCTATATACCTAGGTAAATATTTTAGAGTTAATGTGTTTATCGAGTTTTCAAAAATATGATACTCAGGGGTCATAAACATTTTAAGCTTGAAATTCATGAACTTCGCAGAAAATAGCAGTAATACTATATGTTGTCATTTTTCATATTTCTCTACTAATGCCGGTATATGAGTAATTTAATTGAAGTATTCATTATATACTATATAATAATATATACTAATGCTACCTACCTATATATATTACATGGTATTACTTTCAACTCATATGTAATTTAATCTTGTATTATTATACACTTGCAAATTAATCGAAATACTTTACCTATATATTATTACCGTAATACCGTGTCTATATTTTATTCCATTATTACTAAGTGCTCTATTTTTAAACAACTATAATATGAATACATATGATGTACATATAACACTAATTAAAATATTGAATATAGGAGCCATTACTTATTAGTTATATTTAGTAGGTATTATGATGTGATAAAATATAACAACTTACCTATAACTCCAGCATAAAATTAGATAAATACAAAGTAGTATTAGTACCCAAATTTTGGTAGATTGGTTATTTTCTCTGAAGATTATTGATTGATATCCCAAATAATTAAAAATATCAAATTGTTTAGTACGATGAAAAAATGGCAATTGAGATATATATTATGTATATATGGTACATATGTACATGTTCGTGAACGGTTAGGAATGAGTAAGCCGAAGAAAAATGTTGTGCAATATCGAATGTCATGTGTATTCTTTTAAATGTAGAGAATACTGACAGAATATATCGGCTGTACGTAGGTAGGTATTTACGTGAGGTCATCGACGGGCAAAGAGGATCGACCTTTCATCACTTTATTTTTTCCTATTTTATTTATTCGTTTTTTTTTCTATTCTGCACATCTCTGTCTTTATGAAGTGTTTTTCTCGGTTTATTCTCTGTTTTTGTATACATATTACATATTTATACCTATTACTTATTTCTTTTCCGAGACGACTTGAAATGGTGTGTAATGTAGCCGAAAAACACGAGCTCATTCAATCGTTACAACGATGAAGAATATAACGGACACACAACCGTTAGAGCAGACCTATGCGTACTGTTCTGCATTGTGCCTGCACTGCAATACTCGTCAGCATTCGTTCGTTTCTAATAATATAGGTATTAGGTAGGTATATATCTACTCTCTGATGAGTAAACTGACGTTTCCTTGATATTAAAATACGTACCTATATGAGTGGAGGACTATTTATACAACTAAATTAATAATTACAATTAAAAAATTGTATAAAACTATTAAACCAAAGATCAAAATAATACCATCCCGGCATGCAAAAGATGAAATTCGTAAAATCGTAAAATATTAGTTTATTGATATATTATTCCATACAAATTAATTACAACTACTATAATGACTGTCTTTTTTCTATACAATTAATTCACTGATCCTTATAATATATTATTTTATTATAATAAAAGTATACTATGTACTATTGCAGAACTTATATATTATTATATTTTAAAATGTTGAAAACAGAAAATGTGTCAAGATAATGAAATAATTAAGAAATGGTGAATCAGGATCAGGATCGAAAAACATATAGAATATATAATAATATTATACAGGTATATTATTACAAGCTCACAGATCATAGGTTAAAATGATTTAAAAAATATATTAAAACGGTAATACAAAAGCTATAAAAAGCATTGATTATACATAGGTACACGATACGTCATGTATGTTTAATCAATGCTATAAGATATAATAGGTATCACTATATAAGTACAAATATATATTATATATATATATCATAAAATGTGAATAATTGTAAATTACGCCACATAATGTCATGTATAGGAACTATATTACAAAAATATCGGTCTACCTTATTTGCAGGTAGCTCTAAAAAAGTCTGACTTGGAATTTTTTTTTGTTCAATCACTAATTATATTGTAAATTAAACGCATACTACTCTTGGCGTTTGATAGGTACTTCTAGTTTCTACTATATTGTTATGAATATTGTTGTAATTTTTTTGTGCGGGAAAAATAACTTTATATTTTAGACAATAACATGTACAAAAATATTGTATCGGTATTAAATTACCAGTATGCAGTCCGTGTAACATTATGCTTTACGTATAAATTATACTTACCTAATACCTAACGTAGGTATAACAATAGTGTCCATTAATATTTTGATAAATATTTGGTATAAATCCCAACCAGTTGCCAATCCTTATCTGCTGACCTCTCGGTGCTTAGTACTGCTTACCAGCGAACACACTACACATATTTAACATTACACACTACACAGCTGTATACCCTTTATATTTATTGAGGATTCGGAAATCTAAATATTTTAGTTTGCTATTTGATTGCACGCCAGATGTTTCTCATAATGAACAAATGTCTGAAATTATTCGATATGTCAATAGCTTATTGTACTTATTATTATAGTAGTTTATATTTATAGACGTTATTAAAATGCATTATATTTCACACGTGTAACGTGAATTAATAGAAAATATATCGAATAGGTACACTATTATATTATGTACTGAAAAGTAATAAATAGGTACCTACAAAACAGTATTATTAACGGCATAGCGTATTTCGCGTATGACAACTTGCAAGTATTATAGGTGTATAGAATTATGAGCTACATAATAATAATATATTGCATTATGATTATCATACAAACGGTGTATAATATAATAAAAAAAAATCACTTAAAACTGCAGATGCACGTACTAGTGCAGCCAGTGTCGGAACCAGTGGGGGGGGGGGGTAGTGGTTATAACCCCCCCCCCCCTGAAATTTCTCCGAGGCCTAGTATATTTTAGCTTATGTATATATATTATAATAATGTAATATTGTAACCCCTCCTTCCCCGAATTTTTTTTTAGTTGCGCCACTGAGTGCAGCGAATAATATAATAATATGTATAGTAGGTACCTAATTTAGTTTATGTATTATACATGTATGATATATTGATATGTGAAAATAATCGTTATTAATTATAATGTTTGAATGGATATATAATATTTTACAATATATACTCAATGTTATAAATTTATAATATATCGTTATTTACCACAGTCACCAATGCACATGGTAATTATTACGACGATGCATCGCACTGCGATACATATCTACTTACACTTTCTATGAATGTGCATTATTGCGGCGATTTGAACAATTCCGCATTGCATATAAACACTCCATACGCGTGCGGTGGAGAGGCAATAACCTTCAGCATTCCATGTTCCCCGGTTTACCGTTCACCTCACACGTCGTTAACATATAATATAACGGTAAAGATAAAAAAACACAGTTTTTTTCCATATCAATTTAGCTTGACTACCGCCACGCGTTTGTCTATCGTCTATGGCAATCGCTGAAGTCAATTATAAAGACATCAAAAACTATGACCGTGTGAACTCGGGTACAAACTATTTTACGTAATAGCCAAACTGTCAGTCGATAATTAAAAAACATTAAACCTTCCGTCATCAATAATATACACAATACAGGTACCTAACCATATATTATATACATAGGTATGCATTGCAGCTGCGTAACATGATTTGTTCTAAAAGTGCAATACCTAATGCGTAATAAATAAAATTGATAATAGGTATTAAAGTTTTTAAATACTACAATATTTCTATAAACATATTATTATTTTCTTATTAATTGAAATATTAATAATCAAACAGCTGATACCATACATATATCATATTTCTTACTATTTTAATGTAACATTTCTATAGTGTTTAAATACGCACGATTATTATAAAGTTCAATGACACGCCGTAATTGGCATAATCTTTAATTTCGTAAGTGCCGTTTATTGTACTTCAGTATAATAGTTTGATTATCTATATTTTTTGAATGATTATAATTTATTTTATCGGGCCAATAAAATATTAACAGTTTATTAGCAATTCTACTTAATACTTATGTTAAGTACCGTCCCTCATGTTTAATATCGTTTATCAATAATTCTGATATAATATTTTATAGTTCATAGCACACCTACCTATTTAAGTGTATTCGATATATAATTTGATATATGTTATATCTTACCTAAATATTATACCATAGGATTTATAAAGCTATCTTAAGTTTTCAATTATTTTTAAACATTGAGTTTAAGTAAAAACTAGCACGACGTTAGTACATAATAAGTATTGGTTACATACGGTAAGAGTGTAAGACATATAGAAATGACAATAGTAGTACAAATATAATTACTATATCGTGTAGTGCGTATACCAACTATTATTTATTAGCATAACTATTATTAATATTTAATATTCAACTTTATTTAATATAAATACTTAAGCAAACTAATCAGTGGTTTTCGAACTGTTGAACCTTATAAAGAATCTGAGAAACTTTTTCAGGGCAACATTTATTGACCTTAGCGCTCTGAAAATGTTTTTGTAATAAAAATAGTTAACAACTTAAAACAAAAAAAAAAAAATTGAAAAGATAGGCCTAACCTATTACTATTATAATATTTAATACACATATAAATATGACTAAATATTTATATTACACAGTTTATATTTTTTAAAAATCATCATTATAATTTAATTATTATATAACTAGTTGTATTTTTGTATACACTTATTAATATTATATTTTTAATATTTTGATCACAGTGACAAAAATGACACTATGACCGAGGGTGCAGAAGGTTGCAGCGACGATCCGCTGGCTTCATTGCAGTTAGACGTCGCTTCTGGTGGCCCGTCATCAGAAAGCCAACAGCCAGAGAGTCAGGCGGAAGTGTCCACATTGTGTATATCGTCGGCGGACAATGATATCGACAAAATAATCGCCGGCGAATGGCATGGCGGAGAATGCAAAAGTATGTTTGCGGTCTGAGCAATATCTTGTACATATTGTGGGTGATCCATTTAATGTACAAGACACTCATTATTTAAAATACTATTAAAGCTTATGAAAACAAAATTATCTTAAAAAATAATTTTTTGTCTATTTTCTATCATAATCATTTTTTCTATTATTTTTAATAAAATCCAATTTTAACTCGTTATTCGAAAGCCGAATATATTTTGGAGTACTCCAATACATAAAAATTTAAATTAAATGTCATAAGAACAAAAAAAAAATGAATTTTAAAACACCTCTTAATGTGCTATTATCATATTACAAAACTTTAAATACTGCTATAAAAAATAGTTTTTAATATAATGTTAAATACAAATAATTTGTAGTAGGTACCTATTTAATTTTTCGTAGTTTGACGTTATCGTGATCGATACTAGTTTTAAGTAAAACGACCTATCTATATTATTATATTACTCATGGATTAAATATACAAGGTTATCGCAATAGTACCCCCACTATATAATTTCATCACTTCAAGGAATTAAAATGGCAGCTTAAGGGGAAGACCTATACTGGCTATATAGGTACTATGATATATACTGATAAATGGATTGTACCCTTACGCTGCCATTTTATTTTTGTTTGATAGCAATATAGGTTATGTGCAATAATCTTGTATATTTAAGCCATGATATTACTCATGTCTGCCTGCAAGTGACGAAACTTTCATTCATCGATTGTCAGACCGTTGTACACAAGCCGTGGCCGCCGCTTTTGCCTGATAGGTAGTAGGTACCTCCACAGGTGAAAGCATAATTAATAAAATAGAATATGAATAAAACTTCATAAAAGGGATTACTAATTAGGTCATAGACTAACACTATTGTGCCCCTAAGTGGTTGGTGGAACTGCGGAAGGGTTGTTGTGTAGTACCTATGTATACCTATACTGTATGCAACCACTGCAATTAAACATTCAAACATCTGCAACTTGACTGTTGACCAAATATGTTTGCTCATTTTCTAGGTGCAATAATTTAATCGAAGTAATTGGTATTGAGAGATAGTTGATTTTAATTTTGAAAACAAATTCGAATCCATCAGATGTTTTAAAGGGTATTGTGAAAGTCAGTTTTAGATTGGGTAATAATTTAATTTTGGATTTTGAGCTTGACGCGGTATTGCAGGTTTTACAATGTTCTAGTTAATAATTATTCAACTTAAATTTCCAAGTATTTCAATATAAGCATGGGTTTTAGATTTATTTTATAATAATTTAAATTAAATGTGTGAATCAAAAATAAAATAAAAAATAATAACAAAACGAATTTCACAATGTTATCGTCGTTTCACTGCACACTCGTTAAATTTTGTATTGCACACTCAGCATTTCGTATTACACAATTAATAATCAGCTTCACGTTATATTTCTACGTTTTTTTATTTAGTTACTGTACCAGCTACTACTGTCTAAATAAATGAATTATTATACACTATAGCGAATGACAAGGTACTAAATATCATTCACATGAGATTAAATCTTCCTGCCTTTAAAATATATCCTGTCAGCTGCCGCGAAAATATATATTGCACGCATACACAAACTTGAATGTTTAATGATATTGTTTTTGTTTTTGTTAAAAGCAGGTTGTTGTAGCAGGTGTGCTTTCAGAGAATGGAGGCTGGTCGGTGATAAGTTGCAGTTATTTTGTTTCAAAGACTATGATGCGTTGATAGCAACTCGTCCAGCGGTAATTATTATTAATACTTACTATTAAATTATAATACAATAAAAAATAGCATGTTTTACATCCGGGATAATGGTAATAATTTTTTTTATAAATTATCAAAAACAAAAAGATTACTTAAAAACTATAGCAAACTATTATTGCTTTGGGATACCTACACAGTAGAAACATAAATATATAAGTACGAAAAGTTACTATTATTTAGTATTTTATTATCAGAAATTTTGAATAAGAAAACACAGTTTATTTACTTTAGAATAGTTTTACAAAAGAATTTTACCAACGATAATAATTGTAATTTTATAAAGTACTTACCTACCTACATTTGTTTTTTAAATTATAACATTTGAGAATAATAGCACATAATTATTAAGTATACTAATTTATCTTTTTACCGTAGGTATTACCAAACATTGCTTTATAATGTCTGCTAATATTGCCAGCTTATTAGGACTTAGGGTTAGGAGTACTTTATACCATACAAATGTATAGGTACCATAGTGCACTGGTACCTACACACATAAAGCAAGTTGGTTATTTTTTTATTTTGAAGTACCTACTTAAACAAAAATGATATCTTCGTTAACTCATTTAGGTAATGGATATATTGATTTACACAAAATATACATTAATACTTGATGAGCTTAATTGATTAAAAACAAAATAAATTACACAAAATCAACGATTATTAAATTACTGAATAAACGTTGTGTCATCAATTATAACAATAAATTATACATTTTTCGATGATAATGTATGTAAACTTACACCTGACATGTGACAGGTGTAAATGTGTAATGATGCGCGGATACACCTAATAACAATTTCAACAATATAATATATTAAAATATTATTATATTTACATTTTAGATATATTAATCATAATAGCTTTTCGCATATTATAATTATAAAAACATCCATATAATATAACACTTTAAAATAAACATTAAATACGCAGTTCGTCATAAACTCATAACCTTTCGATTGTATTACAGATAGCTAACATACAGTTTTGCTTCCGGTTCAAGTCCAGCCCGAAATGTCTGAAGCATCCGAACGTGCCGAACGCAAATTGTTTCATATTTTTTGACATCGTCTCGGGTAAGCAATACACACACACACACACACACACACACACACACACACCCACAATTTACGTGACGAACAACTATAAATGAATGGTATAATGATGACTACTTATATCGTTAACAGGTGATATCCACAAAAATTGGATGCAAGTGGTGCGCCGATTGAAAGAGACGTCGGCCAACGCAACGGTCGCACAGCTGCGCCGGTGGTCGCGGGCCGTGGACGAGAACGGCAACACTGCGCTAATATTGGGAGCCAAGCGGCTAATGAACTGCGGATTGTTTAAACGAGCGTACCAGTTCGCAGTCATGATGCTGAAATTCGGTAGTGACGTCAACTGGTTGAACAACGGCGGTCGCTCTTTAATTACATACACTGTCCATTACATGGATCAGGCTATAGACATCACTAGGCTCTTATTGAACTGTGGAGCAACCGTGTGGCTCGAAGGTAAGATGATCTACAACGGAAAAGTCACCCCAAACCCAACCCATCCCATACCATATAACCAAAACTGGGTATTAAAATTAAATTCACAAGGGCTCATGTTTAAGGGACATTTTCCTTCCCCCCCCTCTCACACACACACGCACACAACAATCAATCCAGAAGAATAATAGAACTTTACAATAACTTTTCTAGAAAATCTTCATGATATAATACATTAATACATCATAATATGAAATATATTATATTTTATTTTTGTTGGTTAAAATAAAGTACAATATTCGATTGATTCTCCTGTTTGACGTTGCAAAAATTATTTAAAAATTAAAAAAATTAAATAAAAATTATTTTGCAATAATTATAATTACACATCGTTATTCATATTTTATTTGTCAGTATCGAGTATCCCCAAACATGCATGAAATCACTCTTTCGTGATTGTTTACCTTGACATAATCTTTGTTTTAAATCTTGGCGTGGTAGCAAATTATTGTTCACTCCTATAACAGAGTTAAACAGCATAAATTGATTAAGTTATAATTGTTGAAGGTGTATTTTTAATTTTTATCTATTATAATCGTTGTTTTTAATAGTGCAGGACAGTCGAAATAAATTATACTATATTATAATATTATGTATATTAGTAAATGGTAGATTAGAGCATTAATTAAATACTGCATATTTAATCAATGGTTAATTAATTTCAACTGGGGAAGTAATAAATAATCCACCAAATCCTGGTAAAAGTCTAACCATGATTGAATCATATGAAATACTTCTCCCAGTGGGTCATCGTGTCCAGGGTTTTTTTTCAACCACTAAGAACATCGGTCTGCCTTATGTATATTAGTCTGGCCAAGGCTGATGGCATTTTAGATTCCCAGTGGCAGTGGGGTGATAGATGTCCACAACTAATACAAAGATGAGAGATTTTTTTTGTGTGTGTCTTTATACTCTGTCACCACATTGTTAATATATAGTTTCAACCTTTGTCAATCGTCATTGAGGGTTGTTCTTGATAGAAAATTTGATCTAGATGATGTCTTTGTTAGATCAAAAATATGAAATTGTCTGTACTTTTCTTAATGACTAGGAAAAACTAACAAAAAACTGAGGGAAAACGGAAATATTTACGCAACACCAGTTTTCGACACAATAGATTTACTTTTTTTATGTAGCTAAAAAATGAATAACAATGATGACTTGTTTGTACCCAAATAATTGTATTTATTATGAAAAGGTTTTCGTTCATTGAGCTATACATAAGTAAAGATATTTTTCAATAAATGTTGATAAAATGTTTGTTTTTTCGTCAAAAAGCTTGAAAGTTTAATAAAAATGATAAATTCTCATACCCAAGGCTTTTAAATGTAATACCCATAGTAGCTAAATTGTATTAATTGCAATGTCAATGTAAATATAAAAAATGTACCCATGTTAATAACTTTATAATTTTGAAGTTAAAATATTGACGTAAATGGGAGACAGCTTCTAGAATCGCAATCCAAGGGAAAAAACTTCTAACAAATTTGTTTTATGTTACGACAAAGCCAAATCTGTAATTTTATGTTATTTATTTTTGCATACCTATTTAGGAATTTTTTTTGTACCTATATATCTTCTCTTTTTATTAAAAAAATTAATTAATTTTTGGACATTTTTTTTTTTAAATTATATTTTTTAATAATACAACAATTAATTCTTATCATACCATTTGATTATTTGAAAGCCACCACGCAATGCAGGATTGACTGCGGGTTGATTGAGTATTTTATAGTAATACGTCTTAGACAGTGTATTATTTAACGCTTTTCTTATTTTAAACGTTTTTATTCTTAATATTAAGTATGTAAGACGCTAAAAATCAATTTAAGTTATTAACAGTGCATAAGTACTTGCATATTTTGAACAATGGTCCATTATTGAGTTCAAATTTAACACACCCATTACAGTGACCTACTCAGTGCCGAGGCACATTCGAAACCTACTATACAGCTATCAAAGAGTGGCCCGCGTTATTTTAACTTTTGTGCGTTGCCGACAGATTGCAATTCGGAACCTAGACTTCACTATGTGAAATTACTGAAGGAATACCGCACAAAAACGGAGTCGGATCTGCAGCGATGTCTGACCGATGACCCGATCGAAAGCCCACTGGACAGCATATTCACTTGGTTCCTACGTTCCGTCATGATCAGAAGGCGCATGGACGACAGTTGTCTGCGCACATTGTCACTACTCTCACAGGTTGGTATAATACATTATATTAAAATGTACAGAGTGAAATATATATTAAAAATTATCACAACCAATTGTGTAAGTCAACCTTTGAGTGTCAAAAAAATAATCATTTATACATATTATGTTGATTCAACTGTTGTAAGTTATAACGCTACTTCTAAACAACAAATATATCGAATTAATATATTTTTAATAAATAATGTATACACAGCAATGTTATGTGAGAACCATAGAAATTTACAATTTGAAAATCCGATAACCTATTTTTACTTCGTATTGGTACTCGTTTAAAAGATACAATATTTTTTTATATCACTTAAAACTGTATGAACGTGACTAAATTAAAAATAACCAATTATTTTAAATATTATATTATAATATGCCAAAAAATGTATAAATCTTTCTCCGCTTAGTGAAAGGCACATGCTATTAGGTACTATCAAAGTTATTATTACGTAATTTACATTTACCTTTGTGTCGCATCGATTGTGTATGTAAATGTATGGCTTTATAATTTGTATATTGTATTCTTTTAAACCATCATTTATTACACAATTGTGTTATATTTGAGATCGAGTGCACTACAGCTATTATTCATCAATAACAGTATTTAAATTACCTATTTTAAAGTTTCATTGGATTTCAATTTTAGTGAGTCCTAATCCTAAACCTAGCAGTTTTACTCTACTTGTATAAATGTTATACCTATTGTAGTGTTATAGATACTGCTTTAATCTATTTTAAATAATTTATTTCAAAAACACAAAAATTGAACATTGTGCAGCAGTTGTTTTGCTATTCAAATGTATTGCTTTCGTATTGCTTTAACCTATAATAGGGGTGTCAACATTTTGCGTCAAATACAAATCTAGTTGATTAATTATCCCAAAAAAAAAAAAAAAATTTTAAATATATTCAATTTTGTTACATTCAGTATAGTAATCTTACCAATCATCCATCTACCACCTATTATGATCCAGTAGTCGCCCTTCGTGTGCCTTACCGTATACTTATATAATAATTCCAAATGCTGTATTATTACAGTCTACAGAATGAGTAGATTGTACTGTAGATTGATACGTCAATACATATTGTAATAACATGTTGGCGTGCGGTCCTTCTTCCTTTCTTATTTCTAAAACATTAATTACCTAATTTTTTTTGTTTTTTTTTTCACGACACGCCTAGTCGATGGGCGAGGACCCGACCAGGATGCACTCGCACGTCATGCGCACCATGTTCAGTCACGCTCAGTGTTACAATATATTCGGACCGGTGTTTTTCCAGATCAAAAAGGCCCTGGCACCCCAGTGGGTGCAACCGCACTCGCTGCAGCAGCTGTGCCGCAAGTCCATACGGCGGTCGCTGTTCCGCGGCCGCCACGGTAACGCGCACCCCGACACGGTGGCCGAGCTGAACCTGCCCAAGCCCCTGGAGTCTTACGTCTCCTACCACGACTGAACCACTGCCCATCTCTCCCGCGACCAACACCTGACCATCCCCTCTCCTCATCGTCACAGTCATCAACGGATATACCTACACGTCTTCCACGCAGAATAATATAAATACAATCTTACTCCCCCCCCTCACCACCAATATCACGAAAATTCAAACTAATAGACAAGACAGTGAGTCAACGAAATGTTATTATATATTGGAATTTCAGTTTGGATACAATGATTTAAAACATAAATACATTTTTTAAAGCTACAAAATATTCGAATAAAAATTCCAACAGGGAACTAATTCGGATACAATAAATGACTCGGAATTACGTAATATTGCGTCAAATACCATCGGAACTTAACCTTAACTTACGTCGGTATTTAATATTATAAAATATAGTAAATACAATTTTTGTGTGGCATCCTATCTCCCCCCCCACGAAATACCAATTATATCATTGATTCCTCGTACAACCTATATTATTACATGTGCGTATATCCTATATTTTATATATAATATAATATAATGGTTATATAATAAATTAATTGCCAAAGCTTTCGATTCGAAACTTACACTATATATAGTTAATAAATTTGATGTCACCAGACGCCGCCGGTGTGTCTATATATCATGCCAGTTAATTTCGTTTGGCCAATAATACCTACCTAAGTCGATAAGTCCGCGCGTGGCTCCTGTTATTTATATATTATTATATACACCCAGCTTTTCGACAAAGTTACATCATTATCGACTTACTCTATTTTTACTTATATATATAAATTGTTTTATATTGCGTAACTCCATAATATTAATAACTAATAATCATATAGCCGTTGCCTTGTCTTATGTAATATTTTTATCGAGTGTGTGCAAGACATTTTATGTATTACCTACCTTATATAAAGCTATGGGTAGGTATAGGTAGTAAACTATTTTACTCACCCAATGAAAATAGCTAAAATATTGATTGGACACTATACAATATATTGCAAAATAACGTTGTTCTTGCCTCAGCCTATAACAGCCTATAATAAATATAGGTAAATAATTTCACATTATTAACCTATATACAAAACGTGTATATTTTATTATATATATATAATTTCACGTACTAATGTCACAAAAAATATTTATTGTATTTACACGATTATATTAATGTAGGTACCTAAATTGTAATTTTTTTTTATAGAGTCATTAGAGTCTATATTATATTATAATGTATAGTTTATGGACGATTTAGTTTAGTTATAACTTATAAGTATTAGAAATAGGTATGTAATGTAGATTAATCGTTTGAAATGTATTAAATTACGCGTTTTGCCAAATACATATCGCTTAACTATACCCAAGTGTCGTGATCGCGTTATATTTGGTAATACAATTGTTTAGAAATATAATTATATTATAACAGCTGCAATCATGTTTTTACCTGATTATCGGAGAATGTAAAAAAATCCTTCACGTAAGATCGTAATTATAAATATAATATGTATTAATACAATTGTTATATTGTAACTCTCCATTGTAGTTCTCCGTTATACCTTCTAGATATAGTTATACATTCGTTGCAGTATCTATCTATGTATAGGTACCTGTTACCTGTGTATTATATAAATTATAATATAAAATATGTTAAGATTTGTGATTACTGCCCTTGGCATTTACATAATATATTATAATATTATAACACATCTATATATTGATTCATTTGGTAATTGATTCCTAATGTTTACTATCGAATCGAGTAAGTCCTTATTTGTTTTAATGTTTATCATTATTATGTACCTATATTACCTATGATAATATCGATAAGTGTGATTTCACGTATGCGTGCTTGTGTGTGTGTGTATATATATATATGTGTGTGTGTGTTATCTAGTCGCGAAGTAGGCGACCAAACCAAAGGGTAACCTTATAAGTTTTATTTTATATTTATTATAATATGTTGTTTCAAGTTTTAGACCATCTATATCAAAATTATTGTTATTTCATCCTATCCAATTTCAACCTATATAAATACTATAAAATTTACTAAAATTATGTTATAATTCAGTTTCTGTGTAAATTTTATCAATTAGTTCTAATAATATAATATTTGTACCTAATCCATAGTATTTCTTTGTGTGTGCGCAATTGCAATTGAATAAAACTATTAATTTAAGGTTTTTTTTTGTATCATAAATTAAGCTCCTCTTCAGTTAAAACGATAACAAATATATTATATATTACTTCTAAATAATAATTGTAACAATGCTTTTTAATATAATTTAAGGTTAAGAACTAGGAGGTTTGAGTGTTTTCTTTAGCTTGGTTTTCGATTGCACACCTTTCGTCTCCACGGTACTCGTCGGTCTTTGAGCATTTTTTGGGTCGATTTTTGATAAAAGTTCAGTTTCGAGTCTTACAAAATAACCACCTAAATATATAATATAATATAATAATATATGAACCAAATAATCGTTGATTTGTTCGTTAACAAATCTTTAGGATGATTAAGAACGCAATATTATAATATGTAAGGTGCTGGGTGGTACCTATGCTTCAGCGTGGGTACCATATTATAATTACCAGATCGCTGACTAATATCAGTAACGGGGTTGTTGGTAGTAGTCAACACTCCGCTGCATTCCACGTTCGAATTGCTGTTTTGATGTAACAGCTGATGGACGATTTGCCTAAAACAGCGTTCTTCGTATTCTCTCTGATTGTCCTGATTACAACGCATTGGTGCCGTCAACGACCATTGATAAGTGCCAGAGTATCTTTGAAACAAAAAAAAATTTCAAAAACTTCTTAACGTATATAATATTGTATAGACGCTGTATAGTGTATACATATTATTTCAATATTTACAGAATTTATTGAAATATAAAGGAATTACCTGTATCTTTGTTTCAGTGTTCTTATGGCTTTCGAAGACCGTTTGATCTTTTGTTGTCTATTGTTATAAGTAGTCTTTTCAGAATGAGTCGAATCACTGTCACTAAAACTCGACAAAGAATCCTCAACTTCTTCAAACGACGATCCGAACGACGAATTAATTTCATTCAACGGAACCTCGGTCGCTTCGTAGACGTTATTGTCACCTTTTATTTTGGGGCAAATAAAATAATGACATTTCTCACAGTAAGTTGTATTCACGTGTAGCCGATGTATAATTAATTTAAAAAGTAGAGTTAAGTTTTTCTTTACTCATTAGGTACTTGGAGATAAAATTAATGAAGTTCCTTTACATTTCAATAAGAAAAGTAACTTTCACTCTACACAACAAAAAAAACAGTAGATAGGTAGGTACATAGTACTTTTTTAACTTCTTATCAATCAAAGACCTAAAGTACAATTGTGTAAAGACAAAATGTATTCAGAGAAAAAGAGTTTATTAATTAATAAGTACTGTGCACTAAATAGTTTGTGAAAACATCGAAGACTGAATAGTGACGATTTAAAGTTTAAAATACCAATATATTAGGTATATACATAATATATGTATATTTATATACTACCTATCCCTACAGGTACCTTATTATTATTTTTTCCAATTAATTAAATTGTTAATTCTCGATACCCAAAACGGAAACACGTTATATTTTAGGAATTACTTAATGAAAAAAATGAATTTCTATTACACTACGAATTGACGAGGGTGAGGGCGCAGGGTGATCGAACTCTTCCGTCTACTCTGTACTAAAATTCTTAAAGGGTATATGCATACCGACAGTTTCTAAGGAGTTCAATATAGGCAATTTTCTAAGTGTGTGCATGCGGGTCGTGTAAATGTGTGCGCAGTAAGTGATTATTAGTGTGAGTGACTGTGTATAAAATAAATAGTAGAGCACACCCGCACGTACACGCACATGTCAGTAATGCAAAGTTTTACACTCTAATATTACAAATGTGAATTTTAGTGAAACACTGAAACTTAGTTTCGTATTTCCAATAATATAGCTTACTGAGTGACATTACAGTTTAAACACCTATTATACAAATTGAAGAGAAGATGTTTATCTAGGTTTGTGTAGGAGTCGATTATTTTATTTTCAATGTCCAATTTAACTCTAAAACTTGTGATAATTTACTTTTGAATTTGAATTATTGAGTTTAGTAATTACAAACATCAAAAATTGACTTCTATACAGGCACAGATTAACTTCTCATCTACAGTATTGATAATAGGGGTTTTTACTCTCAAACCGCTCAATCAACCATATTATTGGAAATACAAAAGTACATTTTCATAGATTTTATCAATACTATTCATACCCTTTAAGGGGATTGGAAGCGGCGATTTTCTGTCTTTGTCTAACACACGTGCAACATAGGATTATAGACGTGTTCTATTTCCAACGTACCGATTAATCTAGTGAAGCGATAAGAATTCTGAAAACAGATTTGAATTTGTCGTCAAGTCTACCTGAGATTGACTTTCCCACATTTTTGATATTTTGATTAAAACTTCTCCAAAAATTGAAATATGGCAATTTTTTAATTACTCTTTTTAATATATCATTTTTATGATTTTTGGGGGATAATATTAAAAATGTGGGGAAGTCGATCTCAAGTAGACTTGACGACAAATTCAAATCTGTTTACAGAGTTCTTATCGCTTCAATAGATTAATCGGTACGTTGGAAATAGAACACGTCTATAATCCTATGTTGCACGTGTGTTAGACAAAGACAGAAAATCGCCGCTTCCAATCCCCTTAACGGAATAGACGTTAAAAGTCATACACGCAATGGCCGAAATAGTTTTTACATTTTGTCAATCAATATAAATTATTAATATGCATTTTCATACAAGTCCGGTCCTAATTATAATAATATATCTTACTTGTACTTGGCGATACGGGACGTTTGGCGAAAGGTTTGTCCCACAGTTCCGTCAACAGCAGTCTCTTGTTCGACGACGTGCCCATCACGATATTATCCCACCAAACCTGCGATTTCCTAGACGTACCTTCATTTGAAGCTATAAATAAAGCACAAAAACACGTTTATAAATTATACAAATACTGC